TTCAATGCAGATGCCAATTTGTCAGTATGATTTTCATATATGCGAGTAGGAATTGCTAGTATGCATGCATTTTCCTTGATTTTTCATATTTAATTCAGTTTGTTTATACATATTCGTTCTGTAACTCAATACTTTCGTGTCTCATTTACTTCCTAAATTCCGATTAGAAATGTCAGATTAACGGAAAATCGACATGATGCTACGAATCATATTATATCAAAGTTTGTCGTGTACCATCGCTAAATGATTTGATTTGATTTAATGAAGCCATTTGACCAATGGTCAACAGTGCAAAATTTTTTCAGGAGTGTTTATATAAATTTATAAAATTAAGTTTCTGCAGTTTACTGAGATAATCCTCGTCTTAGAAATCACTAAATGTTCCCCGATAAAAGAATCTCCTTCGAAATCACAGGAGGTGACGATCAAATCATCAGTTTCGCTTGAGATCCAGCAGATCATTGATTGGACTTTATTTGTAGATGAGCCAACCAAAAGTGGGAATGATATGAAGTGCTTCGCAAAAAGTGACAAATTTATTTCCATTGATATGAATGAAAATGACAATAAACTGTGAATATNGAAGGTGCTACACTTTTGGCAGTAACGGGATCTGAAACAAAATTCAAATTGAAACACTCCAGTTGGCAATTATAAATTCAAATGCAATTCTGCAATTCTTATAGGATATTGAACAAATAGTCCATTGTTTTTCGATTACGAATTTGGCCCTTGGTAAAGATTTCGGTTATTTTCTGCAGATATACTGATAAAATTTCTCGTTCACTTCACCATTTCTCAAATTGAGTTCTCCCAGTTTACTAAGGCAGTCTTTGATTCAGAAATCACCAAATGTTACCAAATCGAAGAATTTCTATCCATCTGGTATGTTTATTGATTGCTTATAGAGCAACTCAAGTAACTGGTAAGTTTTACTAGTAACAAGAAGGGAATCATCTCCGAACCACGTACTTTTGGCTTGCTGAATAGGTGAAGGAGTTGCAGTTCGTTCAGTTTTTGGCTTCTGAAGTGGTTGATCAGCAGGCTTTTGGGCTGCCGAATTGTCCGCGTTGCTGACAGGCGTGGACGGTGTTTTTGTTGCATTTCGTTGATCTGTTAACAATTTATCTGTTTCCACGATTGTCTCTGTGGCATCAATCGCTGATTGTACATCAGTTACTAGTGTCACATCGTTGCCGTCATCACCAAGCAGATTTTGCTCATTCAAGCATTGATACAATGCGTTTTGCAATCGCATAAATGTGACTACATAGTCAGAAATGCCCCATTTGACACTGTTGGAAATATACGCAAATGCGACTTTATTCGTTGGATCCATCTTCACATTTTGCCCACCCATTCCCGGATGACCGATCATCCATTGGTCCTGAAAGCTCGTTCCGGTCATCCATTCATCCATCTCATAAGAAATCCAATCGAATGGACAGAAAATTTGGAATGGCATGGGAAACGTGAAAAACAGGATTTAGTTTCAGGAAAATATACATTATGTATATATATA